TGGTAGAAACTAAGTCTTGCTATGTTGTGCAGGCTGGTCTTGAACTCCTGGCCTCCAGTGATCCTCTTGCCTTGGCCTCTCAAAGCACTAGGATTACAGGTGTGAGCTACTGTTCCTCTCCCCTTTTTTTCAATTTTGTTTTTTATTTTATTTTATATTTTTGAGACAGAGTTTCAATCTGTGGCCCAGGCTGGAGTGCAGTGGCGTGATCATGGCTCACTGCAACCTCTGCCTCCTGATTCAAGCAATTCTCCTGCCTCAGCCTCCAGAGTAGCTGGGATTACAGGCACCTGCCACTATGCCCAGCTAATTTTTATATTTTTGGTAGAGACAGGGTTTCACCATGTTGTCCAGGCTGGTCCCTTTTTTTCATTTTTAAAATGATATCTTTTAAAGTACAGTAGTTTTTAATTTTGATGAGGTCCAGTTTATCTTGGTTTTGGAATAGTATCAAAGAAATTTTTGCTTAACTCAAACTCTTGGAAGATTTGCTCATATGTTTTGCTGTAAACATTTTTTGTTTTATCTCTGAGATATAAGTCTGTGATCCACTTAAATTTTGATGTCAGGTCAGGGTTCATCTTGCATTTCTAGTTGTTCTAGCACCATTTTCCTTTGTAATTTTTGGTGTGCAGGTCTTGTACTACTTCTGTTAAATTTATTTCTAATTGCATATATTTTTGATGCTGTTACAGATAGAATTTTGTTCTGGTTTATCTTTTGATTGACTGTTGCTTGCTCACAGAAATACAATTGATTTTTGTATATTGATCTTATATCCTGTGGCCTCGCCATAGTTTATTAGTAGTTCTAATGGTTTTTGGGTGGATTCTGTAAGATTTTCTACGTTATAAGATCATCTCATCTGAAAATCAAAGCCATTTTCCAATCCAGATAACTTTTATTTCTTTTTCTTGTCTGATTGCACTGTGTAGAACCCCCAGTACAGGTTGAGAATCCCAAATCCAAAATCAGAAATGCTAAAACCCAAAACTTTTTTGAGCATCAACAAAACTCAAAGGAAACGCACGTTGGAGCATTTAGAATTTTGGATTTTCAGATTAGGATGCTCAGCTGGTAAATATAATACAAATACTCCAAAATCTCAAAGACTTTGAAATCTGAAACACTTCTGGTCCCAAGTATTTTGGATAAAGGATACTCGACCTGGACTGTGTTAAATGGACGAAATAAGAGCACACACCCTTCCTTTGTTCCTGATCTTGCGGGGGTAAAGTATAATCACAATTGGTTTTTACTAGATGTCCCTTATTAGATTGAGAAAGTTTCTTTCTAGCCTAAGTTTGTTGAGAGTTTTTGTTGCGAATGGATTTTAGTTTTTGTCAAGTGTTTTCTCTGCATTAACTGATGATCATGTGGCTTTTCTCCTGTATTCTGTGAATGTGGTTATGTTACATTAATTGATATTCAGATGTTAATCCAACCCTGCATTCCAGATATACATCTTATTTTGATCATGTTGAATTTGGTGTGTTTGCATTTTTGTTGAGGAGTTTTGAATCTGTTTTAATGAAGGATGTGTGTTTTTCTTTCTTGTGAGGTCTTTTTTATGGCTTGGTATCAGGGTGATATTGACTTCATAGCATGAGCTTTGAAGTGTACCATCCCCCTCTCCTTTCTGGAAGAGTTTGTGGAGTATTAGCATTATTTATTTAAACATTTGATAAACTTGGCCAGGTAAGCCAGTCTTAACCTGGGCATTTATTTGTAATAAGATTTTTACTTATTCCATTTATTTATATCTTACAGGCCTTACAGGTTCAGATTTATTATTTCTTCTTGAGTCAGTTTTGATAGTGGACATCCAAGCTGCCAAATTTGTTAGCATAAAATGTATTGTTAGCATAAAATGTACTATTTCAATAAGTGAAATCTCTCTCAATCTTCCTCTCTCATCTTCCCCATACATGCATATATACACGTGAATGAATGTTTACATATAAAATATCTTGTGACCCTGAATAAGGCAGATGTTTCAAGTATTTATTTTGTTTGACTTAATTATGTGTTACTATTACTCAGTTGACCGGCATTATTTTCATAATTGTTAATCATAGTTAATATGAATTTTCTTAACAGAGCTTATATGTAGATTACATAGAAAATCTTAAACTCTCACCTGTAACTGAAACATCCATCTCTAGTAAATTCTACTTCCCATCTCAAAGAGAAAAAAAGTAAGGGAGGCGGATCTGAGTGCCCCCAAAGACTGATTGTGATGGTTTTGTGCCCTGTCTACCCATAGATCTCTTCATCCGACTCCTTGCCTTCTCACCCCTCATTTCTTAGAATGCGTCTCCATGCTTACAGTTTTCTGCACAATCCCCAGGCTGTGTTATTTAAAAACTCTTAAACATCAAGAGGTAGCAGGTACAATTTTTTGTTAAATGCATGGTTGACAACACGCAGGCTTTTCATTTGACCTGGAAGAAAAATGTTTGGTTGTTCATTACTTCAGAAATGAAATATGTAATAGTAAAAATGAGCTCAAGAGTTCATAATCTGTCCAAGGCAAAAGAATGAAAGCATTTATAACGGAAATTTAGTTCTAAACTAAAAAGCATTTAGTTTTATTATCATGATAGAATTCTTGTCTTCTTAAAATGTATTCTTTCTATTCTTTATCTTCAGGGTTGCATGTGCTTTTTAGGAAAAGCACAGCTCAAACACAAGATACCTTTCTCTCTCTTTCCTTGAACTGAAAAGTTTCTAAGTTACTGGTCAGTAACCTGTAGTCATGTATGTGTTTAGGTATTTTCCCATTCTGAATTGAAATGATTATTTTGTAGTTCTCACTTGGTTCTCTAAAGGAGACTATCAACTGTAAAACCAACCTGTGACAATTAACATATTTTGGACTCCTTATTAATCTTGCACTAAAGATAATCAGTCTTTAGGCTTATTTAATTTAGGGCAGCCTTGGTGTGGTGTTGGAGAATGAATTGGAGAGAACTTATTTTTAAAACATTTGATGAACACTGTTGCCTCTGGTTAAACACAGAACTAGATATTGGGAACCATAGGAATTTTTCTTTAAAAGAGGAAAGGCAGGGCTTTGCCCATGAGGCATCTATTAGATCTGTGAGTACAAAAAGCAAATAAATGAGAAGATTTCATGTAGCAAGGGCATGACATACTAGATGACCACTGGCAGAAATCACTTTTATACCATTATGCAAAATAACCGAAGCATTTATTAACATTTAAGCCCTTACTGTCTGTGGAAAGTTGTCATAGGACACACCCCTATGAAATCCACCACTGTCTCTTTGAAGCCTTATGAGAAATGCTTCCTTTAAAACGGTTGCAAATTTAAACACTTCCAGAGTGTTGCACCCAAATCCCCAGAGCTGTAGTGGTTTGGGTGCAAGTACATGTTGGTATTGAGACTATTGTGAACTGGGAAGCACATTTGTGCACATTCACCATCTAAATGAGATTCAATCAACAAATACTTGCTGATGGTCAAATATTTACTATTTGTCACACATTTTTTTTCCAAAAACCAGAGAGCTACAATTTAGAGCAAAAATTTAAGCACAGGCTTAATGTT